TCCGATCACATCTGTGATGGTTTTCTATAAATTCCAAGGGCAGGCCCTTAACGCAGGCTTCGCTATAACTTGCCCACCAGGTTAAGTTGGCCTAGCCCAAACCTCCTTCCCCTGCAGTGTGGGGGAGTCACCGTTCCTCCACTTCTTCCTCGAGGCCGAGTGTGGTGACGTTTGTCGGGCGGAGCATTGACACCTTATTCTCTGTTTTCTTTTTCCTTTCTCTCTGCTTGCCTCTCTCCCTTTGGGTTCCTGAGAAAACACTCAGCCCGCATGACTGTGGCCTGAGTCGAGAAGGAGCACTAGCTCTGGGAAGAAAAGGTTGACTTCCACTCTCACGTGACTGTCTGCCCATCCATCTATCCATCCGTCAGCCATTTGCCATTTCACGGTGTCTACCTCACCCTTACGTCCCGTCCATGGCTGTGCCAGGTGCCCGGCATTTGGGGATGGAGTAAATAGGCATGGTCATCGTCCCGCCCTGCCAGGCACACGGCTCCGGAGAAGCTTCTCCAGAGCGTGGCCCCACGACAGCACAGTTAGCACAGGTCCAGGCCCTGGGCCTTCCCCTACAGGGCAGAGACTCGAGCAAGGGCCTAGCAAGGGCCGTGGAGGACACGGACCACACCTGCCATCCCTGCAGGCTGAGTGAGGTCACGGCTCAGGTGGGAGGGAGCAGGCGTGCAGGTCTGACCGGCCCCTTCTCATCCAGCTCCCTTCTCTGGCAATCTGGCGCCCCGGCTTCATTTGTGAAAGGGAAGGTCTGGGCCAGCAGCAAGCCTGGTCAGTGCAGCGCTTTATTTTTAAAAACCAGACCACAATGGGGAGAGAGAGAGAGCAGAGGAGGAGGAAGCTTCGTCCTCACCTGTGAACTGGGCAGGGACAGCCAGAGGGAGCCGGGGCAAGTCCCATCGGAGCGAGCAGAGTTCCAGGACAGATTAGCCATGGCACATGCTGCCCAGGGTGCCAGATTGTTTCATTATGGAATGGTTAGTTATCACATTAGCTGCTAATTTTATCTTTCAGCTCAGGAAGTGTGCTCCTGCCACCAGCACAGCGCAGTAACTGGACCTCCAGAGGCCCCTCTCGGGCCTCTTCCCACACCACCAGGCTCTCCCGGTTTGGGCTGTTTTTGAAAAGTCAAACTTGTATCCGCAGACCCTCTCCCGGCCCACCTCGGACACCGTGGGCCTGCGCGGTGGGCTGCAGCCAGCCGCAGGGGGGCAGCCCTGGTTCCTGGTTAATGATCACCGTCAAAGTCAATCCCCGCCGGCCCCACGGCTGCTCGGCGTCTGGTGTGGGCTTCAAGGTGGCTATGAGATGTTCCTTTCTTTTTCTTTCATTGTGCTCTAGGGTGTGTGCACTTGCCAGAGAGACAGAAAGTGGGCACCCTTTCAAGGGGATGGCCACATCGCTTTCCTTTCTCCTCCATTCTCTCGGGATCCTGGGCATGCACACACGCACCCAGCTTGGTTTTCAAGCCAGTGGGTCTAGGGTGTGGGCTTCAAGGTGGCTATGAGATGTTCCTTTCTTTTTCTTTCATTGTGCTCTAGGGTGTGTGCACTTGCCAGAGAGACAGAAAGTGGGCACCCTTTCAAGGGGATGGCCACATCGCTTTCCTTTCTCCTCCATTCTCTCGGGATCCTGGGCATGCACACACGCACCCAGCTTGGTTTTCAAGCCAGTGGGTCTAGGATCCAGCCATCTTAACCACCTTGGCACTGGCGGGGTCCATTCTGCCTATTTCTATTTCTCTCATCTAAATACCTTCAAGAGGACTTGTCTCTGTTCTCTCTCTTGCCTTCTGTAATCTCTCCCCTAAAATAAATATAATGGTCTTTCAGAAATAAAAGTCAGATTGTAGCACCGACCTGCTGAAGATATGCTATTGTCTTATGTTTTAATTTAAAGTAAAATCTATACACTTTATCATGGTCTACTTGCCCTCTCGGCTGGTAGCTCCTGATTTTCTCCTCTTCATTCTCCTCCATCTCTCTCCTCCAGATATGCTGGGCTTCATTACATCTTCTAATGTGCCAAGCAGACTCTCTTCTAAGGAACTGTCCTTTTTCTCTTTTTAGTTTTGCTATTGAGCACATGCGCTCACCGGAGAGAGACAGAGGGGAAGTGATAAATCATCCCCCCGGGGGGAAGGACCATGCTATGGTCCCTTCTCCTCTATCCTTTGGAGTTTTGGCCACACATGCGCTTGTGCCTGGTGTGATTTTCAAACTGCTGGGTCCAGACCTTGAACTACATGGTCAGCCACGTGGGATCTAGCACCTTAATCTCCACACTACCTGCTGGCCCCTATATACACTCCTGGAAAGACCATGCTATGGTCCCTTCTCCTCTATCCTTTGGAGTTTTGGCCACACATGCGCTTGTGCCTGGTGTGATTTTCAAACTGCTGGGTCCAGACCTTGAACTACATGGTCAGCCACGTGGGATCTAGCACCTTAATCTCCACACTACCTGCTGGCCATGGTGAATCTTTTTTTAAAAAGTGTTTATATATATATATGTGTATATATGTGTGTGTGTGTGTGTATATATATATATAATCTAATAATTCAATAAAAATCCTCCAGAGATTGAACTAGATCCCAACTTTGGCCTCCACTGTGAAACAACCCTCATTGTCATAGCAAGTGCTCTTACTTTGTCGCAGTTGCTTTTTATTCCTGGTGGAGGGCCTTGGCTGGCTCCTTCTGTCTGCGGCTGGGGGACCGCAGCTGGAGCACTGAGCTGAGAAGGTGCAATCCCTTCTCTACCCCACACATACTGAGATGAGAGGGACTAGGGGACCTTTTATTTCTAGAGAGATTGTTGCTATAGGGAGCATGGAATTACCAGAGAGACAGAGACAGAAAATGAGAAAATCACCCCCCGGGGCGGGGGTGGCCACACTGCAATCCCTTTTTCTCCCTTCTCTTCTAGAGATTTTGGGCACACACGCCTGGTGTGAGTTTCAAGCCGCTGGGTCCAGGACTCGAACTATAGTCAGCTATGTGGGAGTCCAGCGATGTAACCATTATGCCATCTGCTGGTCCCAACAAGGAGTCTTTAAAGGTTCATGGGAAACATGTGTTATGAATAAAGCTATGCATAAGTTTCATCTTTATTTATTTATTTATTTTTTTGCACCGGAATAAACTTGTACTTATATTCCATTTTCCTTGAACTTTTTGAATTTTATTTATTTTATTTTTTGCACCGGAATAAAGTTGCACTTATATTCCATTTTCCTTGAACTTTTTGAAGTCCCTACATATATTGACAGTTTTTAAAACTGTCTCTGGGGTATTCAGCCTCTTAGAATTTTTATCTTTTTCTTTTTTCTTTTTTTTAGTGTGTTAGAGAAAGAGAAAGTGAGAAATCACCCCCCAGGGGAGATGACCATGCCTCAATCCCTTCTCCATTCCTGCAGGGTTCTGGGCATGCGCACACTCGTGCCCATGTGGTTTTCATGTGCCTTGTCTGAGACTGGAACTGTGCAGTCGGCCGTGTGGCATCCAGCTACCCTAACTGCCAAACCCCCTGCTGGCCCAGAATTTCTCTCTGTAATTCTGTTCAATTGGGCAGTGGGAAACTGCATGCCCAGCCCTTAGACTTCGATCCCGCAGACTAGAAAAGAGGTTTGTGTTGTAGGACGAACCTGAGTCTTTGAGCATGCGCAACGAAAAGGCAGCTACAGGGAGACACCAGCCCGCATCACCCCGCCCGTCTGGTTTATGGTGCCATTTGTTTTTACAGTCTTCAAAGTGACTTTTATTTTCATCATCTCTCATGAGCAGCCACAAGGGTGTTTCTTTTCTGTGCCTCGGGGTTCGTTTTTTTTTTTTTTTTGCTCAGACTTTATATAGCGTAGTGGTTTTGGGCATGGGCTGAAGAGCCGCTGGCCTGAGTTTTAATCCTGGGTCTACACCTTCATAGCACTGTGATTTGGAATGGAGTACTTCCCTCTCTGCACCCCAGTTTCCTCGACCAGAAAACAGGATCTAAAATAGTGACTGTGAAAAGAAAGCAAAAACAGATGTTTCTCTCTATTCAGAGACAGGGGTTTTTTTTTTCTGGCCTTGGGGTTTCTTTTTTTTTTTTTTTTGCTCAGACTTTATATAGCGTAGTGGTTTTGGGCATGGGCTGAAGAGCCGCTGGCCTGAGTTTTAATCCTGGGCCTACACCTTCATAGCACTGTGATTTGGAATGGAGTACTTCCCTCTCTGCACCCCAGTTTCCTCGACCAGAAAACAGGATCTAAAATAGTGACTGTGAAAAGAAAGCAAAAACAGATGTTTCTCTCTATTCAGAGTTTAGCGTGTATACGTGAAGGGTCTATCAAAAGACACCAAGGACAGGAGATGACGTAAAGCCTGGCCACCCCTAGGAAGAGCGCCCCCTACCGCTCACACAGCCTGGTCTTTAATTCACACTGACATCTTCCCGACCGCTTTGTCATGACTTGGGCTCACCGCCATGCTGGGTCGGGTCCCAGCTCTATGTGAATTTCGCACTGAAGGCACTTCCGATCAGCTAACTTAGTTACATAGGTGTCTGCACATGTGGGCATGTAGTCGCATCTTTTGGGGCGCTTGTAAGACAAACATTCCTGGGGTTCAGCTCCTCTACCCCCGCGGCGATTCTGATTCAGCATGTCAAGAATCAGCCTAGAAATGTGTGTTTCAAAAGGTTCCCCAATTCTGCTGATCTTTGGGAACCCACTGATTATAATTACTCTGAGCACCCCAGTGCCAGCGGGGGAGTTGTCCACGTCTTTTGTTTTCCTTTCTTCCATCTTGCCTTTTTTTCTTTTTCTTTTCTTTTTTTTAGGTTTTTGTTATAAGGTACATGCACTTTTCAGAGAAAGACAGAGAGGAAAAGTGAGAAATCACTCCCTTGGGAAGATGGCCACATCATAATCCCATGTCCTCCATTCTTCCCTCAGGATTTTGGGCACCCATGCACACACGACCAGTGTCATTTTCAGGCCGCCAGGTCTGGGACTCAAATATGTTAGTCACATGGGAATCTAGCACCTTAACCACTATGCCACCTGCAGGCCCCGAGAGTTGCTTTTTCTAATGGGAGCTCCCTTACATCTCAGGAGTGTCTGGGGACCTGCAGACCTCATAGAAAATAGTGCCCAGGTGTTAGGTCAGACGTGGGGAGAAGCAGTCCTTTTCTGGCTCTGCTGTGACTTCATTGTCCACTTTGTTGTCATCACTGATGGTTAATTAAATGGTGTCTATAATTAGAATGCTAATATTTTTTGAGCACCTACTGTACCAGACACATTTCTAGAGCCTTGTATTGCGTGACTTCATTTCAGCTGTATCCCAGTGCAGCGCGGCAGGTACTATTCCTTGCCCATTTTACAATCCAGGAAACTGAGGGCAGACAGGATGGTAAATTTGCCCAGGCTCCCGGCAGGCTCGGGAACCCATGCCCTCAGCTACTTAGACACGGGCTTATCACCCACATACGAGCCACTGGGTTACCGTGGTTTGACATCTATTCTCTCTCGTCAATTCTCTTGGCAGGAAACGAAAGAGGAGAAGTCTTCCTACAACTGCCCCCTGTGTGAGAAGGTTTGCACTACCCAGCACCAGCTGACCATGCACATCCGACAGGTGGGCTGCCCCTCGGGTTTTCACTCTTGTTTTAATTGATTCTGCATTAATAGAGGGTGGGGTGGTTTGATTTTGATGGGTTCGCTGTGGTGGTGCTTCATTTTGATTTTAATATTGACATCATTTTGGAGGGGATGGTTATGAAAGAACACATACATGTTCACGGGACTATAACCAAGTCTGAAGTCGACACAGAATTCAAGGGGGACTGCAAAAAGTTGGTTGAAAAAAATGCAAGTACAAGTTTATTGTGAAAAATGGTGACATCCACATAGAGGTTTTTTTTCTTTTTTTAAATATATATATATTTTTTTAGCTTTATTTATTTATTTTAATTTGACCAGGGAGAAAGAGGGAAAGTGAGAAACAAGCTGCCAGGTCCAGGATTCACACCGCGGTCAACCATGTGGGAGTCCAGCGCACTTAACCACCCTGCCACCTGCCGACTCCTGGATATAGGTTTTTCGTAATACACATCTATTCATAAACTTTTTGCAGATCCATTGTAGCTTTTCAGAATTTACCATACACCTGGCTAACCAACCACCTATATAATAGGCCATTGGGAAAAGCATAACATGTTCTTCTGTGCAAAAATGCGCCCTGACTTTCCTGACAGCTCATTGAAGACTCAGTAGAAGACATTTCCTTGTACGTGGCTGTCAAATGAGCCAAATCCCTTTATGGTATAATGACATTGTAGGTGTCCATATTTAGTCTTTATATTTGTTTCACATTTTTTTAAAGAGATTTTTGCTATAGGGTGTGTGTGTTTACCGGAGAGAGACAGAGAGACGGAAAGCAAGAAATCACCCCCAGGGGGATGGCCACGCCGCAATCCCTTCTCCTCCATTCTCCTCTCAGGATCTTGGGCACGCATGCACATGCACGCGGCATGAGTTTCAAGCCACTGGGTCGGGGACTCGAACTGCAGTTGACCACATGGGAGACCAGCAACATAGTGAGAAATCACTCCCTTGGGAAGATGGCCACATCATAATCCCATGTCCTCCATTCTTCCCTCAGGATTTTGGGCACCCATGCACACACGACCAGTGTCATTTTCAGGCCGCCAGGTCTGGGACTCAAATATGTTAGTCACATGGGAATCTAGCACCTTAACCACTATGCCACCTGCAGGCCCCGAGAGTTGCTTTTTCTAATGGGAGCTCCCTTACATCTCAGGAGTGTCTGGGGACCTGCAGACCTCATAGAAAATAGTGCCCAGGTGTTAGGTCAGACGTGGGGAGAAGCAGTCCTTTTCTGGCTCTGCTGTGACTTCGTTGTCCACTTTGTTGTCATCACTGATGGTTAATTAAATGGTGTCTATAATTAGAATGCTAATATTTTTTGAGCACCTACTGTACCAGACACATTTCTAGAGCCTTGTATTGCGTGACTTCATTTCAGCTGTATCCCAGTGCAGCGCGGCAGGTACTATTCCTTGCCCATTTTACAATCCAGGAAACTGAGGGCAGACAGGATGGTAAATTTGCCCAGGCTCCCGGCAGGCTCGGGAACCCATGCCCTCAGCTACTTAGACACGGGCTTATCACCCACATACGAGCCACTGGGTTACCGTGGTTTGACATCTATTCTCTCTCGTCAATTCTCTTGGCAGGAAACGAAAGAGGAGAAGTCTTCCTACAACTGCCCCCTGTGTGAGAAGGTTTGCACTACCCAGCACCAGCTGACCATGCACATCCGACAGGTGGGCTGCCCCTCGGGTTTTCACTCTTGTTTTAATTGATTCTGCATTAATAGAGGGTGGGGTGGTTTGATTTTGATGGGTTCGCTGTGGTGGTGCTTCATTTTGATTTTAATACTGACATCATTTTGGAGGGGATGGTTATGAAAGAACACATACATGTTCACGGGACTATAACCAAGTCTGAAGTCGACACAGAATTCAAGGGGGACTGCAAAAAGTTGGTTGAAAAAAATGCAAGTACAAGTTTATTGTGAAAAATGGTGACATCCACATAGAGGTTTTTTTTCTTTTTTTAAATATATATATATATTTTTAGCTTTATTTATTTATTTTAATTTGACCAGGGAGAAAGAGGGAAAGTGAGAAACAAGCTGCCAGGTCCAGGATTCACACCGCGGTCAACCATGTGGGAGTCCAGCGCACTTAACCACCCTGCCACCTGCCGACTCCTGGATATAGGTTTTTCGTAATACACATCTATTCATAAACTTTTTGCAGATCCATTGTAGCTTTTCAGAATTTACCATACACCTGGCTAACCAACCACCTATATAATAGGCCATTGGGAAAAGCATGACATGTTCTTCTGTGCAAAAATGCGCCCTGACTTTCCTGACAGCTCATAGAAGACTCAGTAGAAGACATTTCCTTGTACATGGCTGTCAAATGAGCCAAATCCCTTTATGGTATAATGACATTGTAGGTGTCCATATTTAGTCTTTATATTTGTTTCACATTTTTTTGAAGAGATTTTTGCTATAGGGTGTGTGTGTTTACCGGAGAGAGACAGAGAGACGGAAAGCAAGAAATCACCCCCAGGGGGATGGCCACGCCGCAATCCCTTCTCCTCCATTCTCCTCTCAGGATCTTGGGCACGCATGCACATGCACGCGGCATGAGTTTCAAGCCACTGGGTCGGGGACTCGAACTGCAGTTGACTACATGGGAGTCCAGCAACATAGCCATTACGCCAACTGCTGGTCCCGTCACTAGGTTTTAAGAAAGCTCTAGATCTGCATTTCCAGGGAGCCAAGAGCTAGGCCCTCTCCTGACGTGACCACTACAATGCTTGTTTCCTGCAGCACAACACGGACACTGGAGGGGCAGACCACGCGTGCAGCATCTGCGGGAAGTCCCTGAGCTCCGCCAGCTCTCTGGACCGCCACATGCTGGTGCACTCCGGCGAGAGGCCTTACAAATGTACTGTGTGTGGCCAGTCTTTCACCACCAATGGGAACATGCACAGGTAGGTGAGAGGGGCCAGGGCTGGGGTAGCTGGCTCGTACCCAGAGGTTGACAGACAGCGAGGGACCTCTGAGCCATCAGAGGACTTGCCTACAGGTGCAGAAAGATCTCGAGTTCGCTGGTGTGTTCATTGCCTATGTGTTCCTTCTCCGGCATCTTAGACGTGTCTGAACCTGGGAAGGAAGTACCTGAGAGAGGTCTGGGGTGGGTTCTTGGGGTGAAACACGTGGTCATTTGCCTCTGGTGATGGGCGTTCGTTTGGTTGGATGACAGGGGAGGCAGGCCCTTGGTAGAGGAGGCCTCAGCAGGTAGCATTTGTGAGACCCTGTCCTGTAAAAGCGTTCCATACGGTCGGCTCAGTGCCACAACCATAACACACTGCTGCAGTGATGCTGGGCCCAAACGGAAGATCACAGGTTCCATTCCCCACTCAGCACCCACGATCCTGATTGGCTGGGAAGGCCAGGAAGAGTGCAACTTAAGACCCTATTAGGGTGCTTGTCTTTTTTTTTTTTTCTGGAGAGGTTTTTGTTATAGGGCTCATGTGCTCGACAAAAAGAGCAAGAGAGAGACAGAGAGACAGACAGTGAGAAATCACCCTGGGATGGCCACACTGTAATCCCTTCTCCATTCTCCTCTCGGGATCTTGCGCACGCATGCACGCACATGCACCTGGCTTGAGTTTAAGCTACCGGGTCTGGGACTCGAACTACGGTCAGCTACATGGGAGTCCAGTGACATCACCATTACAACAACTGCAGGTCTCAAGGGAGTGCTTGTCTTTCTGTTTCTCACTCATGAAATAAATAAATTTCAAAATGGAGGAAGGAAGCTTTCATAAGATTTTTAAAATTTGTACATGCCTACCTTCCCTGCAGATTTTTCACTAGCTCCAACTTCTGGGACTTATTAATAAATAGTAAAGTAGCCCGGTCCTGGAGCTTCAGGATAAAACGAAGGGGGAAAAAATCTGATAAATGTCAGGAAATTACTTCCCAAAAGAGAGCGATGCTCACTCAGAGATTGGGGCCCATAGCGGTGAGCATATTAAAAGTTTGTGGGCTGAACCAATAGAAAGCCTATTTCATAGAGTGATTACATATGTTTTGGGGGATTAGAACAGGATTTTTATGCCTTTTTTTTTAACACAAACATATTAAGAATGTTGAAATGCTTGGAGAAGAGTTAGAAGAAGATTCTTTAGAATTTCATCTTCTCAGAAAGTCAAGCTGCAGGGCCAGCAGGTGGCATGTGGTTAGGGATGCTGGACTCCCACATAGCTGACTGCGATTCAAGTCCCGGACCTGGCAGCTTGCTTTCTCACGTTCCTCCTCTCTCTCTCTCTCATTCGCTCTGTACCTCTCTGGTCAAGTTAAAATAAAGAAATATAAATAATTATTTAAAAAAAGAAAGGGACCAGCTGTTAACGTAATGGCTATGTTGCTAGATTCCCATGTAGTCGACCATGATTTGAGTCCCAAACCCGGTGACTTAAACTCACGCTGGGCGCGTGTGCGTGCGTGCCCAAGATCCAGAGAGGAGAATGGAGGAGAAGGGATTGCGGCATGGCCGTCCCCCCTGAGGGGTGATTTCTCGCTTCATGTCTCCTGTCTCTCTGTCTTTCTGGCAAGCGCATTTGCCCTATAGGAAAAAAACCTCTATTTAAAAAAGAAAGAAAGAAAACCAGGCTGTTTTTATTTTTCCATATTTCCTTCCAGTCACTGTGCTGCTTTTAAAACCTAACATTTTTTTACATATTTATTTTAAAATAAGACTCCATATAATTGTTGTGAACTTGATATGCTAGTTATATTTGGCCATGTATAAATAGCAAAATGAGATGGTCTAAATCTTGCAGCTAAAATCATTTTATGAACCACAGTGTGTACTTGGGACACACACGTGTGGTGGGACGTTTCTCAGTTTGGAAGTACTGAGTTCAAGCCTCAACTGCCACTTTTCAATTTTCCGTCCTTGTATAAGGATAGAAAATTTGGACCTCCATTTTCTTATTTTTAAAATGAGGTGGGTTTGTTGGTTTGTTTGTTTTTTAAGTTTATTTAATATAAAGATAGACAGGGCCAGCAAGTGGCATGGTGGTTAAAGGCGTTGGACTCCCACATGACCGACCACGGTTCAAGTCTTGGACCTGGTGGCTTGCTTTCTCACTTCCCCTCTCTCTCTCTCTGTCTCTCTCTGATCACACTGGAAAATAATAATGATAATAATAATAAATAAAGTTAAATAAAATAATTCTTTAAAAAATATATAGAGATAGACGATAGAGTACCTTACCCTGCCAAGATCACAGATGCCCCTTGGGCGCTCTGTGTGTTCAGGTTGACCTGGGATCCGAACCCAGGGCCTCCCCATATGGCTCCAGCATGTGCAATCATGCTCTGCTGCCCTGTGCCCCCATGGCTGGGTCTACAATGAAATTGTTAATATTATGTCCTTCATCGGATTAGGATGAGGAGGATGAGCTTTGAATTTAGCGTGCAGTTCCTGGAACGTATAAACATTCTATAAAGGTTGTTGTTGTTATTTGCATTTCGGAGTAATGCTGCAGTGCTTTGAAGCCTGTGCATTTCCCTGTCTGAACTCGTAAAACTGAAATATTCTGTGACTTCATGAAAGGAATGAATCATTAAAAGAAGTTTTAGTCCGTGTTCTGTTTTAGCTCATCATTTTATTTCAGGGCGCGTTTGCTTACCAGATCGAGCTAGTGAGGGACAGTGAGAAATCACCCCTCAGAGGGCATGGCCACATCACAATCCCTTCTGCTCCATTCTCCTCTCAGAATTTTAGGCATGCACGTTGATAAGGACCCCCCTCGTGGCTGTTTTGGCCCTGACCACTGACTGCCTGTGATCCTTGTGAGACATCTATAGTCTTAAACCCAATCACTCCTGGTTCAGGAAATGTCCTGTTTTGGTTTTTTTTTTAGAGGCTTTTGCTATAGGGTGCGTGCACTCGCCAGAAGGACAGAGAAAGACACAGAAATAGTGAGAAATACCCCCCAAGGGGGATAGCCATGTCGCAATCCCTTCTTCTCTGTTCTCCTCTTGGGATCTTGGGCATGCATGCACACGTGCCCGGCATGAATTGAAGCCACCAGGTCCGGGACTCGAACCGCGATCAACTGCATGGGAGTTCAGCGACATAGCCATTACGCTAACTGCTGATCCCGGGAAATGTCCATTTTGAGGCCTATCTGTGAAAATAAATAACACGTTAACCACATTTAGGAAAGGCATGGTTACTGTCTCCTAGCGTGACATTTCTGGCAGTGCTGAAGCTATGATACCTAGGCTGTGTAGCTCTCAGACCATGGGCTAAACATCATGGCCACATCACAATCCCTTCTGCTCCATTCTCCTCTCAGAATTTTAGGCATGCACGTTGATAAGGACCCCCCTCGTGGCTGTTTTGGCCCTGACCACTGACTGCCTGTGATCCTTGTGAGACATCTATAGTCTTAAACCCAATCACTCCTGGTTCAGGAAATGTCCTGTTTTGGTTTTTTTTTTTAGAGGCTTTTGCTATAGGGTGCGTGCACTCGCCAGAAGGACAGAGAAAGACACAGAAATAGTGAGAAATACCCCCCAAGGGGGATAGCCATGTCGCAATCCCTTCTTCTCTGTTCTCCTCTTGGGATCTTGGGCATGCATGCACACGTGCCCGGCATGAATTGAAGCCACCAGGTCCGGGACTCGAACCGCGATCAACTGCATGGGAGTTCAGCGACATAGCCATTACGCTAACTGCTGATCCCGGGAAATGTCCATTTTGAGGCCTATCTGTGAAAATAAATAACACGTTAACCACATTTAGGAAAGGCATGGTTACTGTCTCCTAGCGTGACATTTCTGGCAGTGCTGAAGCTATGATACCTAGGCTGTGTAGCTCTCAGACCATGGGCTAAACATGACCTGCTTATTTTTTTTATCTTTTTGTTGAGATGTCATTCATATACCATGCATTTCACCCATTGAACATATATAAATCTATGGGGATTCATTTCTTTATCATCTAATCATAGTTCACTGTCAAGCTCACTTTTTTTTTTTTAAAAAAAGAATTACTTTATTATTTTAACTTTATGTCATTTATTTTAATTTGACCAGAGAGGGAAAGAGAGTCCAGTGCCTTAACCACCATGCCACCTGCCAGCTGCTATGTATCTTACTTTTTATTTGTCCCTTCATCAGTTGATGAACTTTGGGATTGTTTTTACTATTTGGCTATTACAAATAATGCTGTTGTGAAGATTCTTGTACAGCTTTTTGTCTGGCCACGTTTCATTTCTCTTTGTAAACACTTTGGAGTCGAATTGTTGGGTAATTCCATATTTAACATCTTGAGGAACTGCAAACTCTTTTCCTGAGTGACTGCACCATCTGACATTCCGACCAGCAGGGTGCGAGGGTTCCCACTTCTCTGTACCCTTCCCCACTGTTGTTACTTCTTTAGTCTTCATTTCAGTCACCCTAATAAGTGTGAAGTAGTATTTCCTGGAATTTCGCAGTTCTTACCTTTAAGTTTATGATCTGTTTTAAGTTAATCTTTGCATACATATCAGGAAGGGATCCAAGTCCCGGTTTTTCTAATTATTTGTTGAAAAGACTTTTCTTTGGGGGCCAGCCCATGGCATGGTTGTTAAGGCAACTGCACCCCATGTGAAAGACTGCAGGTTCAAGTCCTGGAACTGGCTTGAGAAATACTGTTGGGGTGTGTGTGCCTGCGTGCGTGCATGCCCCAAAATACCCAAATGAGGAAGAAATGGAGCAGAAAGGATTACGGCATGGCCATTTCCCATGGGGGGGGGATGGTGTTTTCTCACTTTCCTACTACCCATTCCCATGAGTGCACATGACCTCTGGCAAGGTAAAACAGGGCCAGCAGGGGGCGTGGTGGTTGAGGGTGCTAGAGTCCCACATGGCCAACTGTGGTTCGAGACCCAGACCTGGTGACTTGCTTTCTCACTTGCCCTCTCTGTTG